ACTTCCAAATCAAGAAGACTTTTGTTCATTTTATCAATTAACCAACCCAAATCATAATCCAAATAGAAATTTAGGTTATGCTCCAAGAATCTCCATCTTGACCCAAATTTTAATGCAAGGAATTATTCTTCAAGCAATTCTCTTAATAGAGTGCTCCAATTGCAAAACTCTACCACTTCTACCATGTTCCTCTAGCCATATGCAGCAACTGTGAAAAAAATTTAATCCCTACTTATAATCTGAACTACATTAGGTCCCAAACCAGCTTAAATCATTCTGTTTACTACTAACTCCAACTAAGTTACAAGACGTACTCATTATTCTCCACGAGTAACTCAATTACTACCAGCTCCATTGAAGCTAACGCTTATCAAACCATAAGCAACCATATCTGTCTCGTTGAACCTCTCTTGTGGTTTAACATCTCATTTGGTTCATAGCTTCATCAACGTGATTGTAGACCCTGCAAGACATATAATTGTGATTTCCTTTGTCTCTTTATCATCATTCTGGAAAACTTGCTGACTTTCAAAACTTCGCATCCACCAGTATACATGTATCTTTTTGAATCAAAAGTACTCAAGGAGATAACATTTCGATTCAAGTATAAAACATGTCTCGTATCACCATGTATCCTAATTGTCCCGTCGAACATCTTAATTTTGACCTCACCAGTACTAGCTATCTTGTAAAATGAATTATTTAGTATTACCAAGGATCCCCTTTGTATCAATTTCATATGTTGCAAAAATTCCCTATTTGAACATATATGAAAGGCGCAAGCCATATCAACAATCCAATCATCGTCAAGTTTGGAGACTACAAAACTAGTTTCACTGGAATTACCAAGTTGTCCCTTTTGATTTGTAGCAACTAATTTATTCCTATTCTGCCACTTCAGGTAGTCTTTCTTCTTATGCCCCTTCATCTTGCACATATGAGAGACTATATCATTAGCATTAGCATTAGCATTAGCATTAGCATTAGATATGCTCCTTCCATGACCACTTGAATCCCTCTCATGAACTAAGAAAACCATGAGTCCGTGCCTCCAATTTGACAACCAATTGCTTCATTTTCTTTTTAGAATAAGGCGCATCATAAACATTGTCAATAGTGAGGGTATCTTGACTATATAAACTGATGTCCCTGAATGTCATAAATGAAGTGTGCAATGAGCATAGCAAAATCAACCTAAGTAATATTCATCGTACTTGATTTTTGTGGCTTATTCATCGTACTTGATTTTTGTTGCCTCCAAATCAGCAACGATTTCTTTGAATACAGACAGATGATCTTCCAAAGATGGACCTTCTGGCAAGCAATGAGAATATAAACGCTTCTTTAGATGCAATTTTCTAGTTAGACTCTGAGTCGTGCATAATTGCTCCAACTTTAACCATAATGTAGTGGCACTTTTCTCTTTTAACACGTTAAAGATTTTATTTAAAAGATAAAGATATATCTATAATAGGGCCTTCCAATCCTTACGCTACTTCTCCTCTGTGTCAAAGTTAAGGATATCTTATCCAACCCCAGCAGAACATTATCCAAATCTAATTCGACAAGAACCGCTCGTATCTTGATCTACCACAAAGAAAATCCGGTGTTTGATCCAAAAGCAGAATTCCAAACTTCATGCTTGCCGTCTCGAAACAATCAAATTTCTTTCTGAGGTGATCAAGCATTGCTTTAATACGAAACCAAAATGGCCCTCTCAAGAACTTCAATCCTTGGTTCTGATGTCACTTGCTCCATATTGAGCCAATTTGCAATATTCCGGTGATAGAAATTATACCACTTGTTATGAATATTGAAGACAAGAAATATGGGCAAGAAGAAAATAATGAATCACACTAGAACACAAAATTTATGTGGAAACCTTAATCTAAGAAAATCATGAGCTGAGGTGGAGAATTCACTATGATCAATAGTAACGAAGTATAAAACAACCTCGCAAGACTCTCAATCTATCTCAAAATATGCGAGTCTCTCTCTATAACCTATATCATCTCGCTTTAATGTTCTCTCAATGGTATACAATATTTTGCTATGTTATCTCATGGCTATATTACGTGAAGTATATATATGAACTTATTACAAGGGTTTTGGATGAAGTAGAATATAAGAATTTCAATCAAAATCATAAAAGGAGATTTTTCTCCCGAACAGGTATGAGCTCCTTGCCTCCATTCTTTAGCATTGTGCGCCTCGATCTAGTGCCTAGGCGCTATCTCCATGGTCCAAAACCTTTGAGGCCCCTTTCCAATCGAACTTTTAATCCTTGATGAGTTTTGATCTATTTTCAAGCCGGACTTTCAAACTAAGAAGACTTTTGTTACTTTTATCAATTAACCAACTCAATCTCAATCCAAATAGGATTTTGGTTCATACTCCAACAAAATAGGATAGTTTCACGTGCCGAAATGTATATGGCTCATTCTTTATTAATTAAATACTATGTTTTAGCTGATTAACTTTGAATTGGAGTTAAAGAACTCTAATATGAAAGTGACAATGAATATGTGCTACTATTGTATGCTTTTCCCTTTTTCAAAAGGTCAAAGAAACAAATTATTAACTCAAATTTTAAGATGTTAATTAATATTATCCTATTAAAAAATGTGGAATTTTACTCTTAAAATACTAGAAAGATAGTAACTTATTTAAGAACATTAATTGTAAAATTCGATTACCAAACTGAGCTTAAGACGATTAATTGCTTGTTTGAACTTTTAATTAACTAGCAATGACGAAAGAGATAATTTTATAATAAAAGTTTGGGATTGAGTTGAACAAAATTTTTGTTTTGGACAGTTTTCATAATTGACAAACTTAAATTGATTGAGAAGAAAAGACTATCGTCATTTAAACAAGCCAAAGGATATATAAATATAGTTTAAATCTTATAAAACAAAAACCATCTCAAAAAATGAAATTTGTCGAAAATTCAATCTTAAATACACGATATGCAAAACATGTTGGAACTCAAGTGCCAACACCCAAAAGTTGGGATTATTTTGTCAAAAATAATTGATTCGGGTAATGTTGTGTACTCTTTTTTGAGTCCTTTTGAGCCAATGGATTTCAATCCTAGTTCCAAATAAATGGACTTTGAAAGAAATTCAAAAATGAATCGAAGTCGAAGTTCAGTAGTCCAGAGGCAAACTAGCCATCTTAATTTTCAGTTCAAAGCTTAAAGAGCTTGACCACCGGGTAGTCCAAATAAAGTGAGCTAGTCTTTTAAGGTCATCCCACCTGGCCCAATCCTTTTTCCTATCTAGAGGAAATTTCACCTGTCGAAAACTCATACCTTCACTAGAAGAAAGAAGAAATTACCTTATTTTATTAGTCAACTCGATAGTTAGAACTAACCCCAGTTAAAATGCAATTGTAGTACATGTATATAATGGATTATATAATAATTTACTTATGCATGATGTGGTGAGATGTGATAGGGTGAAAATTTCTTCAATAAAAATAAATGAATAAATAATAAAAAACTCCTCCACTCTCTTTTTGACATCTCATCTACATGTAAATCATTATGTAACTCCATTATATGCCATCAGATTATTAATTATAATATAATTGCATTCTTACTTTTCTCAATATTTTTATTCAAGAAATACTACTGCTTTGTAGTAAAAATGTTCACATTTTAATATTCAAAAAAATTGCTATCCCCTTGAATTATGCCACATATCCCACGAATCATGCAAATTAAGATTAACCACATTTAAATAAATCTTCCATTTTGAACCAAAAACGATAATCCTTCATCAATTTATCACTTCTTCTATGTTAATTGACGTTGCAGATCCTCTCAAACCCGAAAATCATACCTCAAAATGGACATTCCAAGAAATTGCTAATCTTGTGCAATTATTATTAAGGATTCTACGATGTGAAACATGTCTTTAGCGGTTAGGTTGGACCTATCCAAATAGACATATCCGCAACACCCTATTGCAACGTCACAAGTTTACTGATGAAGATTGATTCACTAATATTGAATAATATTGTGATTGAAAAATACTGCAACACCCTATTGCAACGTCACAAGTTTACTGATGAAGATTGATTCACTAATATTGAATAATATTGTGGTTGAAAAATACTAAAACTCGTCACCGACTTAATATTTCATCATTCAAGAAGAGCTCTCATGGTTGCAAGAATAGAAAGAGAGTGATTGAAGCGGTCAATTTGATGTCCAGCATGAAGAACAAGAAAAAGAAATACTACATTGATCCACATGTTATTTATTTATATTGTACTTCACAAGATCCGTTATTATTATTATTGGTAAAGGAATACACAATTCAACCAATATTTTTGCCTTTTATTCTGTTAAATACATTATGTAGTTATTAAACTCCAAAATTGTTAATTAGGTTTCATGATAAATATCTATTGTTCATGTTTAGTCTATAATAGTATCGAAATTGTACTTTTGTCAGGATGTTGCTGTACATCAGTATATAAGGCACATTGATGCAAGAGTTCTGCTTACTGTACAGGAGAATACTCACAATCCGTGGGGGTGGGAGATTTTTTTTTTTTTTTTTAATAATCACCCACCCCCCAACCCAATACAAGGACATGTGAGTGCCCTGTACTGGCCCTGTGAACATAGGGCCTATACCTGAGGCAAAATTCTTGATGCAATGGGAGTTCAAATTCATGGCTCTTACAGACCCTACTAAGTCTCGAGAGATGCTGAAAAATGTGGTGACTATTTCAACTCATCATTAATGTAATACTTATGAGATTTTAGATAAAATCTCTTCGTTGCTGTACATATATTCATACATAAAATCAGCAAACATACCTATATAGTTATGTCTCAACATATATTCATACATAAAATCACTTGAACTACAAATTATAATTCATACATACCTATATAGTTATGTCTCAACATATATTCATACATAAAATCACTTGAACTACAAATTATAATTCATATTTATACAACTCAACTCGCTATACAAAGAATGTATAAAATACTCTAGAAAGAACTAAATGTATCCAGAAATAAAGATACGAGAAAAAGATTTAGAAAACTTCAATAATGCCGAAATCAATAATGCTAGACCAACCGAAATAGGTGACCGAATCCTTGACCTGCTTAGGTGGAACTGGGGCCAATAATTAAAAAAGAAAATGCCAAATTCTTTTGTTATTTAAAATATATTTTTGTACGCCATAGAGGTAGAAATCAGGCTCACGTGCAGACCCATTTTCCTATATTTCTTTTCCTAAACCCTATTTTCCACAACAGTTGTATTCTTCCTCCAGAGCACCTCAGTAGGTTCCATAGCGCCGCACCTAATCTCAAATCGTTTGTTCAACGCCGACAACGCTGCGTTAGTAGCTGCACTAGAAGGATCCAACCTCTCCATTCGTCATACATCTACATAAAGTAAGTTCGAATAATGCTGAGATTTTTTTCGTTTTTTCTTTTCCCTATTTTGATTCGAAGTTTCCATTTTTTTTTTCCTTTTCCTGTTTCAGTCGTCATATGCTTGTTTAATGATGAAGTCTTGAGATTTTTATTTTTTATTTTTTCCCGTTTCCTTAAATTTTGATTTTTTTTTCCTAAAGAATTTGTCGACTTTTGGATGGATCTGCTTTTAAAGTTTTGACTAGGATTTTTTGTGATAGTATAGAATTGCAAGTGTGATTATGCAAATAGTGTAGTTTCAGTTTTCTGATTTACATGTATGAAAAAATTAATGTGCTTAGAGTATGTTGTTCTGCCAATTTATATCAACTATCGACCTTCCCCATCCCAAGCAGTGAAACTATTGGTAATTAATCAACTACATAACTATATAGGTATGTTTGCTGTATTGAACAGAATTGGACACAACCGTTACAGCAGAAAAGAAAAGAAGTTAAAATCATGATTTAGGTATAAGAATGCTCTTCACTTCAATATTTTGGCATGAATTGGATAGTGCATTCCTGGTAAGTACAATGTGGACCTTCCATCCACATCTTTTTGTCCTATGACCGTGTCTAATTTATTTGTGAAATTATGCATGGGGAATTCAAGTGGTACAATTGGACTAAATAATTCTACTCAATGTTGAGGTAGCTATTACATGATTTTTCATTGTTTTTTAAAGGAGGTGAAGAATCATATGACGAACGAACAAAGAATCATATGACGAACGAAGGAGGTGAAGAACTATTTGCCATGTTTCAATCACGATGCTAATAATCTGATCAACAAGATGTGAATATTTCTTTTAATGTGACAATACACAAAGGAAGAGCAAATGCGGACGGAGATAAGAAAGGAAAGGGGCATGAATGTGTTGTAATAATTAAATGTAATGACCTTATTTTACTTATGCATTTGATGGATGTCGTAGTTTCTTTGGAATGTAGTAGTAAAGTAATTTCGTTTTGTAATTATAGTTTTTGTATTAAGACTTTATTTCCTATGTGTATATGGTAGTAGTTGCATTCCTATTCTATAACACTTTGTCATTTAAAACTAGGCTCCTTTTTTTCTATGGTTAAACATTTAATCTATCATGCCCAAATTTCTTTAGTACAAAGCTTTTATTTATTGAATCAGGAGTCTAGAAATGTCAGTTGTTCTTGTGATTAAGGAATTTGTGCAATTGTCCAAAACATATGGAACGTAGTAGGACATTTTATGACATGTACATCATGAAAATTATTACGCAATCCACAAAGTACGATGTAACGTCAACTATTTAAAACAAACCCGATCATTACCTCAACCATCCTAGGGGGATTGAAGATGACGATTGTAAGTGTTGTGAAAACCCAACGCTTTAGTTTGCACCCTACATTGAAAATGAATCTAACTTATCAGTCATATTCTTCTGCTTAAAGGAAATGTAATCGTGTAAATGCACTAACCACTACGAGCTATGAGCATGACAACGGTACTGGCATTGAATATTGTGATGGATGGGTTATCTAAAAAATAGTAGCACTATTTCCGAAGTTACTTTGGCGGCCGTTGGGGTTCTTCCCTTTGTTTGTACTGCTACCCGCCTGTATCACAATATTTGAAACACGAACTTTATTCTTATTCACACATGTTAAAAATAGACAAAAAAAATAATATGGTACCCGAATAATGCAACATACCTTCACATTATTTGAACTACATTCGGAGTGCCCTTTCACTTTGTACATTTTAGATCTCGAATGCTAACGCATTCACTACCCATATCGTCCGCTGCTACATTCCCCGATGCTAAACGAGTAATACGATTGGACATGGCAGTACTCCCGAAACCTGACCTCAATGTGGCCATCTGTTTACATGGAGATTTGATCCATTCTAATATGGAACTAGATTTTGCATCATCATCACAAGTGAGGTTCGTCAATGTAGCAAACGATTTAACCATCTTGTCGTACATCAACTATGCTCGGGTACTAACCAACCCAGCGTAGTTCACTGCAACCCTCGTGTGGGATCTAATAACATCTCTCCACTATCTTTGTAAAATGTATATATCTGGTAGTGATTGAACACCACTACATATCAGTACTGTGATCGGATGCCTACATAGAATTTCGCGAAACTTGAACGAGTGGTAGCTGCAAATAATTTCACTTTTGTCACTTGATAATGACACAAAGAATGTTTTTTTCTTGCAATGATGATCATGCATGACATCTTCATGTACCTCGTATGTCGTCCCCAAACATTCCTCGTTAACAGATATGAGGTCGCAATAAACTTTGTCAGCGAACTCCTCTTGAACTTCCCTGAATTTCGATATCGTGTACACTGTCATACCTAGTTACACAAGGTACCATTTGTGAGAAGGACTTGAAATCTGCTTGAAACTTTTTCCCGACCTTATTTCTCAATGTTCGTTTATATTGTTCAACAAATTGCTTTAAAGAGGTCTTTGAATGAACATATCCATCAAAAAATACATTCATACTCTCACTTCTTTAAGTTGTTGACATCCCCGCCCAAAAAAGTGGTTCTCAAATAGCAAGGAACCTAACAAGATCTATTCTCAAAAAGACCTGACAACCATCTATTGTATGCAAATTATATGTTTCTATCATCTCTAGTCAACCTTTTCAAATTCTTCAATAAATTGAGAATCATAAACCAATCTGTGTACAGTGGAAAAGATCGAAGTTTTATGAACGTGAAATCCAAACTTCTTCAACAACTTTTCAATATGTGCCACAAACACCAACTGTACTTCGTATTGGGAAACACGATCTGAATTACATTTTGCATTTTCCTGTCCTGATCGGTAATTATCCCATTGGGAGTTTGGCCATTCATGCACTGCATCCATGTTCGAAAAATCCACACAAATGAATCAGTATCCTCATTTGATATGAGCCCATATCCGAGGAGTGTCGACTGTCCATGATGGTTCACTCCAAAAAAAAAGGAGCAAACGGCATATCATACTTGTTTGTTTGATATGTGGTATCAAATGTGATAACATCGCCAAACTCTATACATGCCTGTCGACTCCTATTATCTGTTCAGAAAATATTCTTCACATGCAACTCTTCTTCCAAATCAATACTAAAGTAAAACCCTGAGCACCGTGCTTGCATAGTCGAAAAATATGACTTTATTGCCACGACATTATCCTTTCCAAGTGTTAACCTCCAAAATTGTTCAACATAGTTTCGACAGTACTTCTCAATGTAGGCCATATTCTCATATCCACCTACTTCAACAACTGTAGAGTTGAAACTTTTGTGCAGTAGTATTTCTGCAACGTCATTTACTTCAAGCTGATGTTTTACCTGTGCACTTAATTCTCTGGTGCATCGATACAGTCTAAACTTTGAAGGACATGTTCTATGATTGTGATCGAGAAGTACTTTGTTATTCGCAATATTCCATTAATATCTAAATATGCGGTCAGTCTGGCTTTACATTCACTCTGCATAGTAGCCTGTAGCTTTAGAAAAACGCTTGTGTTATAGCTTTTTTTTCCCTTCACAACTACAAATAAATGTAACATATCGTAGAACTCCATCATCATCCTTTTTGGAATTTCTTTTTCTCTTTAAAAAACCCATGTCGTATGCATATCTTTTATAAAATTCAAATATTTCATTTTCGTCCTTGAACTTCATGCCCACCTCATGCACAATTACACTATCCCCTCCTGTTGCATCATCACCCAATGATTTAGTATTGACAATATCATTCTCGTCATCGGACTCCACCAACATAATAGATTTGACGTTGGCACAAATTTATTTTCCTACGAAAGAAGCCAAATGAACTTTTATTATCAGTACATCCTGCCTCTAACAAAGTGCTCATTATCATGCTTTTACTTAAAATAAAAATAAAAAATTAGTAGTCATCATTCTCTCATGAATTCTTCCAAAAATTAGCAAAGCCAACTAATTCCCACAATCATGTTTCTACTTAACTTTAGACTTCAAAATTTAAAATTACTTTCACATTTTGAAATAAATTTCAGAGTTCACATTAAAATTAAATTTCATATTTAAAAATAAAAACAAACAGATTTAGGGCTATATCCTACCTCAGATTTTACCCCAAAATTTAGATTTGGAACTTAAAACCAACATAACTTACAAGAAATCTCAAAAAAATATAGATTTTAACAGACATCATACTTCACATTTTACCCCAAAATTTATAAAACTTAACACCAAAATAATTTTCAAGAAATCATAGGTTTTACCTTTTCTCGTCATTGATGAAAGTGAAGATCAAATGATGGAGCTGTAGAGGGAATGATCTATTTGTAGATGTGAAGTGTGTGTCCAAAACCCGACTGAAAATGGAGAACAAATGACGGGGGAAATCTGGAAGAAAAATGGGACTAAAATGGCGAGTTGAATGAGGTAAAGATAATGGGAAATGGGTCTGCATGTGATGAGCCTGATTTCTACCTTTATTGTGTACGAAAATATATTTTAAATAACAAAAGAATTTGGCGTTTTCTTTCTTAATTATTGACCCCATTTCCACCTCAGCAGGTCAACGATTCGGTCACCTATTTCGGTTGGTCTAGCAATATTGTTTATTTGTTTTGATTAACTAAAGCTTAACAGATAAATTCTAACAACAATCTCTATTTTTTAGAATTTAGACTAAATCCGAAACTACTTTATTGAAAGCAGAACAACTTTGATATAACTTGTTGCAGATGTAGGAGGCTATATCATCTAATATGAAGTATATGACCGTGTTAGGAATTTTATGCCAATTTCTTTTATTTTTATGTACTCACAGGATCTTTTGTTGTTCAAGAGAATATAAGCAAACAAGGAAATAAATATGATACTCAAATTAAATGAACCGTCAAAGTTTTTCACTATATAAAAAATCGTTACAATCATATATAATTTCACTCACTAACCCAATCCCCAAGTATTACAAAGAAAACAATAAACTTGAGATTTACCATGCCTACTTTTCTACCCAATGTACGAAAAGTCTCAAGATGCTAAGCTCACAATATTTTCCTCTCAGTTCAACTCTCTAGCCACACCCAAAATAATGTAATACATCCACTATTTATAGGATCAATAACCAAGTAGAAAAGTTTAATTTAAACTCAAACAAGACTCCTTTAACTCAACAAAGATTCATTCATGTGCAAAACTTCGAAATTGACTGTAAATTGGGGACCAAATTCTGCTCTCAATTTTAATTAGATGTCTTTCATACAATAACTAAATTTTATTATTTGCAATAGAAGTCCTTCAACTTTTGACTTTTGAGACAATTACCTAACAATCTCCATCTTGCTGAAAATGAGTCAAAATCTTGTCATCTCTTTTACAACTTTTAATCACAGTACTTGAAAAAAACAGGCAAGCTTTTGACACACTTTAATTGTCCCATATTCCACCATATGAGTATGACCACTCAGAATTATTTGCAAACTCCGATTATTTCATCAGCTACACGTTGAAGCAATCTTGCTGATAGTTATGGTACAACTGCCCCACTGACTTTTCTAGAGAGCTCATCAGCCATCGACATCACAACACCACCACATATCTACACACCTTGCATCAAATGTTAGTCAATGCTATGTGCAAATATGCTAACCCGTGCCATAAAGAACATATCATCTATCATGACAGCATGCCATGAGGATGTTCTCATCTTACTTTACAGCGCCACATCTACATCCTCTTCGGCCAAGAGAGACGTATTGTTCGACCCGAAGTAGCTAGCCGACCCTACTTCATCTTTTGGACAATTTCTTTTTACGTGGCCAATCTGATTGGAGCTCTAACAAGTTACTTTCTTCTTCATGGAGTTGCCCTTCTTCCCTTTTTCAATCATAAGCACCGTATTGTCAGATGAAGTATTCTGTCCTCCTAATCTTCTTTCTTCTAAGATCAAGTTGCTTGTCACTTATGTGAAACTCACAGTTTTCTTTCCATACATCAAGATTGACTTGATATTTCATAGATAGACGAAAAAGACCAGATGAGCCATATTACCTTATCCTAATCATCTATCTT